CGGTGAAACCTTCTGCCAGCACAAACCCCTCACCTCACAGGGAAACCCGGCGCACGCAGGGGCTGCAGAGTGGTCCCAGGGGTCTGCTGCATCCCACACATAGCTGCTGCACCCACTGCCCAGCACAGCCCCCTGCCCTGGGAAGAGGCTTATAAGGGGAGGGTCCCATGCAGGGTAATTGGCTGGATGCTAATTAGCTAATTGGTCAGCCTGTCATGGCTGTCACAGGTGCAGAGGAGGGCTGGAAGCTGCGGATGCTGTTTTCAGCGCTGGTGCTCACGTTCGCACTCCTCGTCCCCACTTCCCTGCCACCTCCCGGAGCTAACGGCAGGACGGTGCCGCCCGGCACGATCCGGGTGTGATCAGAGGCTCAGATACCTCCAAAATCCCACCGCAGTGTCCTCTGCCAGGTGGGCTCCAGACCGAGCTGCCCGGTCCCAGCCCGAGCCGAGTTTCGGGGTTGGGGGTCACGCCGCTGATCGGCGGCGATGTTTGTAGCACGCAGAACAGCGATACCCGGGACGTGTGTGAGGCCCCCGCCGCGCTGTGTGACGGGCCGACGGGTGAAGTCTCTCCTTCCTCCCCGCATGGGTTCCCTGCTCGTTGGCTGCGTGGGTGCTGCGCTGGGGCGGACACGTTGGCTGCACCATCAGTGCCTGCGTGTGCATGGTCACCTGCTCAGTGCCCCTTCCCTCTTCCTTCCCGGCTCCCACGCTGCAGGTGGAGGACATCCTCGGGGACCAGCCGGAGCTCAAGGAGAAGGTGTTCACGGTCCTGAAGCAGTACGCGGCGGAGCGGAAGGTGGAGTACTTGGCCTACACCCTCTGCATGGTCCTCACCCAGGAGTCCCACCAGGATCTGCTGGACAGCATCAGGTACTGGGTGCCAGCAAGCTCCGCGCTGCCGTGATGGGTGTTGAACCATGGGCATCCATCTGCCCGCTGGTGAGGAGCTGCACAGCGCAGGCATGGGTCAGGGGGTTCCCATGGGGACGATGCCGACCCCCTTCTGAGGGGCAGCTGAGCCGAGCGTGGTGGGGTCTCAGCCCAGCACCCTGGTGCCCACCAGCCTGTGCGGCTGTCCTGCCTGGGGTGGGATGGGGGGACCCGCACCTGCCTGCTGGCCACCACCACACCAACCACGGGTTGGACTGGGTGACCCACAGAGGTCCCTGCCAACCCTGAACAGTCTGTGATTCTGTGATTCTGTGATGCTCTGGCAATGTTCCGCTTGGGCTTGGGGTCCCCAGCACCTCCTGAGCCCCCAGCAGAGCGGCCGTGCCGTCGGGGCAGCCAGCTCGCTGCTCTTCTTGTGGGACGGTGCTGGTGCCAGCGCACGGGCACGTGGTGGGGATTACGGCCAGGCTGAGACGGTGGCCATTAGGGAATCAGGTCTCCATCTGGCCCCGCTCCGTCCCAGCTTTCCAATTCCTGCTTTAATCAGTGGAATTGCAAGATATTACAGTTACCATAACAACGTCCCCATGCCGGGGTCTCCGCCGTGCTGCCGCGAGCCAGCGCTGGGGAGGATGGAGAGAGCAGGTCAGTGGCCACCGCCC